CTGCCAAAACATTTCAATCACTGCTGGCATTAATTGGACCAAAGAGGGATTCAAACTGTTAATGAACGGCCCTCTCTTTTCAGCTAACGTTGTTCACATGATAATTTATGCAGAGCACCTCAGTTTTTTGCACGACTTGAGTACGGTTGTCTGGACTCAGTCACCTCTGTCAGAGCATGGCCCAGTCCAGACTTGGACGGCTCTCCCGCCTGTGTTCCAGTCTGAAAGCTGGCACAGTAAACAGGCCTCTTTTCTATGGCCATGAAGTGGCTTTCACTGAGCTAAATGGGCGACTTCCAGATGTCAACCCTTTAGTTTCCCTATTAAAGCATCTCAAGAAAATAAAAGGCACGATTAGAGTGGGCTGAAGCTGGTCTTTTCAGTCCCTCTTGAAATTCCCTTTATTATTCCATAATTTATAGGAAWAAGAGATATAATGCAGACGGAAACTGTAAGGAGGGGTCATTTCATGTGTTAGTTATGGTTACCAAACAGCATTATATGATAATGAAAATGATCAACCTTATTTTGTTTTCTCTTTTAATTTATGCAGCTTTTAAGCCAGCCAGGCATGACACATATCCCGTATTGTGGTTCACGTTTTAGGCCATGCTTGCTTTTATACCTATTTATATTTACATTTGTCTTTTACTTACAGTATATGTAAGCTATTTATGCTGTCATGTTGACCACAACTGCCTGAAGAAAATAAAATAAAATAAAAAGTTAATGGGCCATGCTTGCTTTTATACCTATTTATATTTACATTTGTCTTTTACTTACAGTATATGTAAGCTATTTATGCTGCCATGTTGACCACAACTGCCTGAAGAAAATAAAATAAAATATAAAGTTAATGGGACTTTCTTAATATTATGTTGAGAAAAAAAATACATTTATCATGTTACAGGTAATTTTGACCCGTATTGTGTAAATTTGCTCAAAACAAAAACTTGCTTAAACCAAAACTTTATTTTAGTGTGTTTAGGTCTTCCTTGCATCTTCAGAATCTCAGTGGGAAGTTCTGTTATTTTTTCTGACTGTTGACAATCTGCCTCAGCATTGGTGTGGTGATGTTGACCATTTTAGATGTCCATGTCCCCTCTGTGGATGACGATTGTTGCATCCTCTGAATCCYACACTCATCGTGGGAAAATTGATAACCTGGATCATCAATAGCATTGTCCTCTGACTCTAAAGGATCCTCCGTCTCTGAAATAACTTCCTCTACATCACTATCCCAGTTCATAAGCTGCGATAAAGCTTCTTCAACTGTAAATYGTCTGGAGCTCATTTTTGGTGCATTTSTCAAAGAAAAGGAATGGACACAGTGACAAGGGAAAGAAAGTCCCTCCTCCACATACACCTGGTTCTGAATGGCTATTCAAAGTTCATCAAAATAAAGTATTTCAAAGAGACATGTTTATTTTGGATTCAAGCAGCAACTTTGAGTCTGGGTCAAAATGACCCACAACATTCATCTTTGTATACAAACTCTGTGCAGACACTCCATGACACGTCAAAGTGTTCAGCTTTTACACAGCAGTTCATGACCCTAGATGAGGAAAAGTCATGAAATTTTCTGGGAAAAAAGTAAGAATAACCTACATTTTAGGCCACATAAAAAACTGAAATGGGTCAAATTGACCCGAAACATGATACAAGAGTTAACATTAAAGGCTAAATAAATAAAATAGCTGTTTTAGTTGTTTTTTCATCATATGCTAACAAGTAATAACTAAATATAGTAACTTAGGTTGACAAAAAATCCTGACTTATTGGTTTCATTTTTTTTGTTTGTGTGCTTTCATGACTTTTTTTTTGTTTGTGTGCTTTTTTTGTTTGTGTGCTTTTGTTACATTTTTTGTTTGTGTGCTTTCATGACATTTTTTTGTTTATGTGTGCTTTCATGATGTTTTTAGTAATTTTTATGACAAGGAAACATACTCATGTTTAAGCATTATGCATTTGAAAGATGAATTATTTGAAATCTCTCTGTAAGAAAAACAACTTCAATTTAAAAAAAACAATTAATTATTTCTTTGTGTCTCACAGCTCAGCTGATAAGTTCCAACTTCCACCTACAAACCCTCTCTGTCCTTAAGGTTGAGGTAGTAGATTGAATAGTTGTGGGGCTTATAGCTTCCTTTTGAGATAACTAAACAATCTACTGTCTTTCCTGGGGAAACAGGATGAACTACTGCAACACTGAAGCCTTCGAGTGGATGAGAAGCTTTATGGATTATGGAGTTCAAAGAAAAACATATATAACAAATCATTTAACACACCTTTTGTGAGACAGCTGGGCAATGGGGCTTTTGAACATTTTGAGAGATCTTGCTTTAAATGATTGTATTGTGTGCTTGACGTTGGGCCTAGCGAGGTGAGGTAGTAAGTTGTATAGTTTGTGGGATGGAGCTCGTCCTGCTCAGGTAATAACTATACAGTCTATTACCTTCCTTGAGAGGTACAAAGAGTGACTGGAGTGATGAAGCAACCTCTCTGTCGCCACCATGTGACTGAAGACTTGTATGACTCTGGAATTTACACAAACTGCTGAGTATGGCTGATTTTGTAGGATACAGTATCTATATGTGCAGTGCCATGCATAAATATGTGTCTACATTAAAGGTGAAATCATGATCATATTGTCTTTGTTCATATTTATAAAACAGTGCAGTCATTTTGAAACTTTGAAATTGTACACATGTGCCCTCTGGGATCAATCAAGTATTTTTGAACTGAATTGAATTGAATTGAAGCCTGATTTCAACCCCCATCTATAACCTGAAATACAGTAAGTACAAAAACTTGCCTGCTACTGAAAACAAAAAACAAAACAAAAAATATATATATTTTGCACCAGGATATTCTGAGCATAAAACAACAGCAAAGCTAGGAGTAAAATGCAATGTTAATTAAACTGACCCAAAGATACTCATCTGTGAAAAGATCAAAGGAAGTGATAAGAACAGAGGGGCAAACTTAGCATGTGCACATTTTTACTGTATATGTGTGCACTTGTAGTTTTAAAGATATGCATTAAAACTTAAAGCATATTCATAATGGGAAAATAAATATAGAGAATCAAGAAAGTGATCAATCTTAACATTAATAAAACAAACCAAAACTAATTTTAGATTTCCTCTTCCTGCTGCACCTTCAGAACAGATACATATTTGGGTTCCCTGAATTGTCAGCATTTTTGTGTCAATGTAATCAACACCTCTATCTTTGTGGCATCCTGTATTTCAGCTCTCTACTCTCCAACAGGAAGTTTAAAAAAAAGTTCAACATGCTGCAGCATGGCTGCACAATGGTGAGAAGGTAGCAAGATTGGCTCCCGATCAGAGGCCGTTCAGAGTGGTTTGTTCTCCTCATGTGTGTATTGGCTTTCTCTATGTACTCAAGTTTCCTCCCACAGACCAAAAACATGCATGTTATGCTATTATAGTAACTAAGTACATTTATTTTGTTACAGTACTTAAGTAATTTTTT